AACAAACAGTTTTTTTACACATTATGTAACAGTTTTTTACACCTTATGTAACAAACAGTTTTTTTACACCTTATGTTACAAAACATTTTGTAACAATGTTTCATTAATTTGAATACGTTATAATTTCGTCCTTAGACATTCGAACAAAGAACCGTATTTCTAAATTTAAAGGAAGTGGTAAGGAAATGACATCGTAAGGAAATGACATCGTAAGGAAATGACATCGTAAGGAAATGACATCGTAAGGAAATTAAATCGAAAGGCAATGACATCAAAAGGAAATGACATAGTAAGGAAATTACATTGTAAGGAAATGACATCGAAAGGAATTGACATCGAAAGGAAATGACATCGAAAGGAAATGACATCGTAAGGAAATGATATCGAAAGGAAATGACATCGTAAGGAAATGACATCGCCTATCGAGAAACTGACCTAATAATGAATCGCTCGGGGCTGGGGGTTCAAGGTTAATGTACATGTACACACACTTGGGTAAGGATCAACAACCGGACGACGGATATCTTTACATCATAGTGTACAACACTTCAGTCGCAACTAAAACGTGTGCAACTAAAACGTGTGCAACTAAAACGTGTGCAACTAAAACGTGTGCAACTAAAACGTGTGCAACTAAAACGTGTGCAACTAAAACGTGTGCAACTAAAACGTGTGCAACTAAAACGTGTGCAAGTAAAACGTGTGCAACTAAAACGTGTGCAACTAAAACGTGTGCAACTAAAACGTATGCAACTAAAACGTATGCAACTAAAACGTGTGCAACTAAAACGTGTGCAACTAAAACGTGTGCAACTAAAACGTATGCAACTAAAACGTATGCTACTAAAACGTGTGCAACTAAAACGTGTGCAACTAAAACGTATGCAACTAAAACGTATGCAACTAAAACGTGTGCAACTAAAACGTGTGCAACTAAAACGTGTGCAACTAAAACGTGTGCAACTAAAACGTGTGCAACTAAAACGTGTGGAAAAAGAAAGCAACGTTTGTATTATTCACTGCTCGCCATCAGGGGGGAAGTTAGGGTTAATGTCAGCCGGGGCGGGAAAAGGTTTTTGCCGCCCCTTCCCATGGAAAAAAAAATCTGTTGTAGGCATTAAAAAATACCTCCCTGAGTACGACGAAAAATATGCCCGAGGTCGACCCACCCTCCCCCCCCCCACCACCCTTCCTACGCTAGTGCTTGTTAGTCAAATCATCAGTAACATCCACAACATGTCAACGCTTGCTAGAATTTTTAGCTGATGTCCGCCACGAGTGAGCTTTGCTTGCGTAGCAAATCAGGGTAGACCAGTCATTACTCTAACTCCATGGTACGAGTGTCTCAGCGGCAGATAAGCATGTCAGGGTACACCAGCCCTTACACTAACTTCAGGGTACGAGTGTCTCAGAGGCAGAAAACCATGTCAGGGTACACAAGCCCTGACTCTAACTTCATGGTATGATTTTTCTCCGGGAGGGGGCTAACAATGGACGAGGGAGGCCTTGGTTATATATAGTTATAGGTACTTTTGTGCACTAACGAAAAGCAAAGCAACTAGTTATTTATTACTCTTTGAGCCTTTTTCCCTCTTAATCGATTCTGAAATATAACGTACACGTCTGACGCATAAGATTGATTTCAACGTTGTGCAAGTGCACTTACAAACCCATGAGGCGCAATATATACGTTACAGGTAAACGTTAAGTGGTCTATTTTAAATCCATGTGGAATCCCGTGTAAGCCTTGTGGAATCAGCACAAAACTGAACCAATTAGACATGTTTTCAGGCGGGAGCGCCTGTCAGGACTTAATTGATGAAAGACGCCAATCACAGAACTCAACAATCGGGCTAATTGATTCCTTTAATTTCGTTATTTCATTCCGAAAGGCTTGCAAGCGCTGGAAGGGAAAAACGAGTTTACAAGCCGCTAACATCGGCCTCACAATACCCGTACAAATGTTTAGACATGCCGGATGTCATCTCGTACCTGGTTCTTGAGGTTACAGAAACGAACAGATTCTGCATTCTGCCATGGAGCTTTCGGTATTTTATGATATGACGACATTGACGGGTCTTATTTCTCTTCATAGATGTCAGCGATGATCTCTGAAGACTCCACGTGTCAAGATGTTCGTGATGTTAAAATGTTCAATAGATTTGTGTCAAGGACACAATATTTTGTCAATTTCTTTCTTTTTATCATATTTAAATGATCAAATAGATGCCTATGTTTTGATGATTTTTTTGTTCCATCCCTTCATTCTCTACCGTCTCTTATCTCACAGTACGTTATCTCACAGTATCTTATCTCTCAGTACCTCTTATCTCAAAGTACCTCGTATCTCACAGTACCTCTTTTCTCACAGCACCTCTTATCTCACAGTACTTCATTTCACACAGTACCTCATATATCACAGTTCCTCTTATCTCACAGTACTTCATTTTACAAAGTACCTCTTATATCACAGTACCTCATATCTCACAGTACTTCATTTCACACAGTACCTCATATCTCACAGTACCTCATATATCACAGTACCTCATATATCACAGTACCTCATATCTCACAGTTCCTCTTATCTCACAGTAATTCATTTTACAAAGTACCTCTTATATCACAGTACCTCATATATCACAGTACCTCATTTCTCACAGCACCTCATTTCTCACAGTACCTCATATCTCACAGTACCTCATATCTCACAGCACCTCATATCTCACAGCACCTCATATCTCACAGCACCTCATATCTCACAACACCTCATATCTCACAGCACCTCATATCTCAGAGCACCTCATATCTCACAGCACCTCATATCTCACAGCACCTCATATCTCACAGCACCTCATATCTCACAACACCTCATATCTCACAGCACCTCATATCTCACAGCACCTCATTTCTCACAGTACCTCATATCTCACAGTACCTCATATCTCACAGCACCTCATATCTCACAGCACCTCATATCTCACAGCACCTCATATCTCCCACTACTCATATCTCCCACCACCTCATATCTCACAGCACCTCATATCTCACAGCACCTCATATCTCACAGCACCTCATATCTCACAGCACCTCATATCTCACAACACCTCATATCTCACAGCACCTCATATCTCCTCCGCTACACTGACGTGGCGCCCATTCTTGTTCTATCTCACAGTACCTCATATCTCACAGTACCTCATATCTCACAGTACCTCATATCTCACAGTACCTCATATCTCACAGTACCTCATATCTCACAGTACCTCATATCTCACAGTACCTCATATCTCACAGCACCTCATATCTCACAGCACCTCATATCTCACAGCACCTCATATCTCACAGCACCTCATATCTCACAGCACCTCATATCTCACAGCACCTCATTTCTCACAGTACCTCATATCTCACAGTACCTCATATCTCACAGCACCTCATATCTCACAGCACCTCATATCTCACAGTACCTCATATCTCACAGTACTCATATCTCACAGCACCTCATATCTCACAGCACCTCATATCTCACAGCACCTCATATCTCACAACACCTCATATCTCACAACACCTCATATCTCACAGCACCTCATATCTCCTCCGCTACACTGACGTGGCGCCCATTCTTGTTCTCACAATCCCTAGTTCTCTGTGCTTTACCTTCTCGCCCGCATCCACACACGGACACGATGTGGATCACAATCCATCAACTCTTGTTTTGTCACACTGCTCTCACGGTGCGGGGAACCTACACAAGTGTTTCTGCCCAAAGGGACATTTTCATGTTCACAATGTTAGAATGTTCCCTCACGTTGACCGAAACTTTGGGGGAAATTTATGGATTGGGAGCAACCGAACAGACAGGATCGAGTATCGTTGAAAATAAAAGCAGAGCGGTAGTCGCAAAGAACAAAGCCACGATTCAACAACTGAGCATTCATTCTACCGCAGATATATTTGAAGTGGCTTAGCTAGGATTAATGCCAACCAGGGAGGGTCAAGATTTTAGCCGCGCCCCCCCCCTTTTTTTACTTTTCCAAGAAAAAAACCTACAACTTTGCAGTTGACCGAAAATGAATCAATATAAATTTTTAAAAATGCCGTCCGGGGGCAGACTACCATCCCTTCCACAACCCCTACCTACGCCACTGCACAGATGGCTTGCCATAGGGCATTGGTCATAGGATTATTGTTTTATTTTATTATTTCCTTTTACGATAGCGTCAGCGTTTATGGCAATGATATTTTTTTTTATAGTTTTACATTAAATTTGTTTTTTTATAGTTCAGATGTACATATTATAGTCAAGGACGCTGGATAACAATATATTTAAAGGAAATACCTTCGTGTGATGGGGAAAAGTCATTTATATTTATGTTCCAGTTTTGGCACGCGTGGCGGTGGTTGCCCAACCCTGTTCTAAATCCACCCCATACACACGTTTTTTTTAACAATATCCCCCTGTTCATCGCGTGATGTCCAAGACCTGACATCAAAGCACAAACCAGGTCTATTCTTCGCCCGGATTGAGTCTGAACATTTATTTTCTTTTACAGGTGCTCTTTGTTCTGATAGAGGCGTATGCTCCAAGTCGCAGAAAAATAAAAACTATGGCCGTATCAGGCGTCAGTCTGCGAGAGGTCAAGAAACTGAACAAGCCGGCGTTCTTCGCTGGCCTGGCACTCGTGCACACGATCTTCTTGCTCTACTTCATCGTACCGCCTGATCTCTACTCGGTCACTACAAAAGATGTTTTGACCAATCAATCCGTTTTAATCATTTCTAAACAGTATCTTTTACATCATGGACACACTTCCTCTTCCGGTGATGACGTAGTGATGACGTTCAACGGTGGCTTTGAATCGGGCAGATTATCACCTTTTAAACCTTCTGTAACAGTTCCTCCCAGGCACAAGACAAGCCTACAATCTATACAACGTCCACTCCAAAACTCCAGATTACCTCTACAGATTTATTTTAGGTCACGCGACAACAGCATTCTGGAAAAACGTTTCCGGGAACTGTTAATCCTTTTCGATAAACTAATGACAGAACATGGCTTGACCTACTTCCTGTACGGCGGGACACTGCTCGGCTCCTACAGACACCACGGCCCGATCCCTTGGGATGACGACCTGGATGTCATCGTGCCGGTGCTGCTGAGGCCTTTAGTCAAGCAAATATTCGCCAAGGTCTCGCCAGACTTCGTCCTCAACTTTCATCAACGATGCTACTGTAAGCTCTTTTCATCCCGCTCTGATCCCATCTTGAACCTCCCTTGGAAGTGGCCTTTCCTGGACATATTTTTCTACGACGAGAACGCCACGCACATATGGGACATCTGCCCTTATTACAGGGACAGGTACCGTTATGAAAAGGCGCTCGTGTTTCCCCTCAGGAGGCGACCTTTCCTCGACTTATCATTGTTTGCACCCCACCACACACGAGCGGTGTTAGCGGAGACGTATAAAATAGACGACTGCCAATCGAGCGCCTACATCCACCGGTGGGAGCGGAGCAGAGAGTCCACCACTGCGCCCTGTTCCGAGATACATTCCTTGCACGCTTTTGTGTCAAGAACCTACATGAATGGAGGATGCAACGAAACATTAATCCACCACAAAAATATAACCAAAGTATTCTTTGATTATGGGGCAACTTGCTAGCATATTTTTAAAATTATTAAGATTAACAATTTATTGTGTCATTCCTAGATGAAAGCACCCACGATATTATGCAGCAAGTCATTTCAATTTTTAAAAACACATGGAATAAGTATTTACTCATTTGTGACATGTACATATATAAGACATGTACATATATAAGAGATGTACACATATAAGACATGATCACGTATAAGAAATGTACGTTCGTTTTGTAAAACGACTTTCAATTCAAAGATTCTAATATAAATTTTCAGTATTATCTCTCTAAAACAGATGATAAATATTAATAAGGTGTTTGCTTAACATACTCTGGCGCCAAGGTATGTAGAACACATACGTTCCCTTGCGTGGAGTGTGGAGGGTGTCTGCTAAATTGGAAATTGTTGAGTCTCCATGAACAACCCACCTCCAGGCTTCGTTGTTGCGCCAGAGAAATTACACAATTGCCTCTTGGAGACAGAGACTAAAATTTTACTCAATGGCAATGACCATTTGATGTCGCAGTTATATATGATGATTTTATCATAATTGCCTGGGACCATTTTTTTTTCTGCAAGGCATTGAATATTCAATAGTCGTGTAGATTTTAATTCTCCAATTTTCCCTCTCTCCCCCCCAATCGTCCCTCTCCCCCCCCATCGTCCCTCTCTCCCAACCACATCGTCCCTCTCTCCCGCCCACATTGTTCCTCTCTACCACCCATATCGCTCCTCTTTCCAATCTATATTGTCCCTCTTCCACTCACATAGTCCGTCCCCCCACATCCCTATTTTCCGTTTCTCCCACCCACATAGTCCCTCTCTCCCACCCACATAGTTCCTCTCTCCCACCCACATAGTCGCTCTCTCCCACCCACATAGTTCCTCTCTCCCACCCACATAGTCGCTCTCTCCCACCCACATCTCGCTCCAGCTCACTCTAGACTAATAAGGAACCCAATTTAAAGCAACAACTTTCAAAGCAAATATCAATGGTTTCATTAACTTCCGCAGCTCTTACCTCTTCGACCAGCTTTAGTCCCTACTGCAATAATGTACAAAAGATCGATCAATAGTATCAGGTCAATAGTATCAGGTCAATAGTATCAGGTCAATAGTATCAAATCAATGGTATCAGATTAAAAGTGTCAGGTTAATAGTGTCAGATTAATATTATCAGATCAATAGTATCAGGTCGAAACTATCAGTTCGATAGTACCAGACCAATAGTGTCAGGTAGACAGTATCAGGTCAACAGTATCAAAACCCCATTACAGAATCATTGACATTCCCCTTCCGGTAAGTTATCACAAATCGTATTCACAATTAATGTTATATATAATTAGTTCTTGAGTACAAAAAACCCATTCCACCTCTGCCACATTACGACGATTTTTAAAATTTACTGTTAAACTCTCTCCTTGAAGTGTAAATATTTAAGGTTGTGTGTGTGTGTGTGTGTGTGTTATATGTGTGTGTGTTTGTTAATGTGCGTGTGTAAATGTGTTTGCCTGAATGTTTATCGTTTACCTCCTAATTCCTCAGACCTCCATGTTTACAGAGTTTCATGAAAATTTGTATAAAAATGAACTTGAAATTGTATTTATTATTATTTTTTTTAAAATAAAATAAAATAGCTTTTTATCACATGTAAGGCGTAATTCTGTTTGGAAAAAAAAAAAAACGAGTTGGAAAAATCGACTTCTCTTAACAGTCCGTTGTAGCCTTCTTCATAAGTGGAGTTTGTTCTCACTTTTTAAACAGGGAAACATAAACAAGTTATGTTTTTTTAAAATATATTATCGTCAGGTTGTCCAGAATAAAAATAAAAATATTTTTAATGAACTCTTATTAGCTTTGATAAAAATGCACCAAGTTTGATACAAAAAAAAAAAACACATTCATTTGCAAAAAAACTGTTTGCTACAGTTGCATAAAAGATAAATCACGTGAAAATTACGTAAGTGCAAACCAAAAACGCATACAAAGGATTTATACGAAAGAATGTATTTTTAAGGGTTGTTTACTACCTTAAGTTGACTTATAATACCACTGTGCGTTGGTTTACACATGGTTTATTTGCCCACCAGTCCTTACGTCGTGATGGAATCAATCAATGATGTAACACGGCACACCACACTAACACATCAGTTCTGTAACATGGCTCACCAAACAAACACATTAGTTCTGTAAAATGGCTCATCACAAAAACACCTTAGTTCTGTAACATGGCTCACCAAACAAACACATTAGTTCTGTAAAATGGCTCATCACAAAAACACCTTAGTTCTGTAACATGACTCATCACTTAAACACCTTAGTTCTGTAACATGACTCATCACTTAAACACCTTAGTTCTTTAACATGGCTCACCAAACAAACTCATTAATTCTGTAACATGGCTCACCAAACAAACACCTCAGCTCTTTAACATGGCTCACCAAACAAACACCTTAGTTTTGTAACATGGCTCACCAAACAAACACCTTAGTTCTGTAACACGGCTCACCAAACAAACACATTAGTTTTGTAACATGGCTCACCAAACAAACACATTAGTTTTGTAACATGGCTCACCAAACAAACACATTAGTTCTGTAACATGGCTCGTCACACAAACACCTTAGTTCTTTAACATGGCTCACCAAACAAACACATTAGTTTTGTAACATGGCTCACCAAACAAACACATTAGTTCTGTAACATGGCTCACCAAACAAACACCTTAGTTCTGTAACATGGCTCACCAAACAAACACCTTAGTTCTGTAACATGGCTCACCAAACAAACACATTAGTTCTGTAACATGGCTCAGCAAACAAACACCTTAGTTCTGTAACATGGCTCGTCACACAAACACCTTAGTTCTGTAACATGGCTCAGCTCACAAACACCTAAGTTCCGCTTACGGCAGGTAAAATGCCAGAATTACAAATTATTTTGTTAGCTCAAGTTCAAGGCCGTTCGCTCCCCCCATCTCCCCCCCCCCACACACACACCCTGTTATTGCTGGAATACTGATCTTCTTCAGCAATTTACCTTCCATACTTACAAAAGGACGCCAACCATGTTTAGGTTTGATAAGAACTGCGCCAAATTGTTAAGTGACCTGATGCTCGATAAAGCGTGAGTCAATTCAACAACACAAGACACAGCTTCACAGACAACCCTGAACCCTGATTATGTGGTGAACATGAATGTGGATTGATAACATTTTGAAACAAGACGCCAACATGTAGTACTGGACATTTTTTTTTAACTGTACAACTGTAAGGGTTGCTATTCAAGTATATTTTACTGCGGGATTTTGGGGTAAAAAATTGTCGAAACTTTTTGCAAAGAGTGAAAACCATTTTCGTTTACATAACTCATAGCCAGAGGTTGAATACGCGCGATTTTGTCGGTACAACCATTACGAGCAATACTGGGTTTATGTAACTTGTTAAATTCCGATTCTAGATAAGGTTTAGAGGTGTGGGAGAAGGGAGAGAGAAGGGTAAGAGATGGGTAAGAGAAGGGTAAGAGAAGGGTAAGAGAAGTGGGATTGTGGGTGTAAACTATGCAGCCGTACGTAACGTTGTGAAAACAGCACGCGCTCAGCAGCAGGTATACGGTACACATCAGGTATACGGTACACATTGGCGTAAGATTTTCATGTTTTGGTTTTTTTACCCCTCAACCGCTTTTTAATTTAGTCCAGCGGTGTTGACTTCGTTTAACGAGCTCGTCAATCGAAGTAACACTTTCTGCGAGTCTAGGGTCTGGGGAGGAAAGGGGATACATTCAAAGCGGTTAAACTCCAAAACATTTGAAAAAAAAAAGTCTACCCGATCCTAGTCTGCAAACTTGATATAAATTTGCATCATTAAATAAGCAGTGACAAACGTATATATTGTACTATATTTTTTTTAGTGAAAGTCATCGAAAAATTTAATGGAATTATTTATTTTTTTAATAATTAAAGTCGGATTTGTCGACGCGTAGTTGTCATGTCAGTTGTATTAGAATACCAGTATGAGGAATTGTAAAAAAGGCCTTTTTTTTTTTTTGTGCATAGATTTGCAAGTCCGTTTTCTGAAATTTTATTCTAAATCTGAATCTTGGGTTTCAAAAGTTTATTAGGGAAAGAGACTTATCTCAGTTTAGAAAAATGGAAATGATCCAAACAAACTATGGGAAAACCTGGGGAAAAAAAAAAAGAACGCAACAAAACAATGAACGGATACTGCAATTCATTTAAAATGTTATTTTTATTTTATGCTGTTTTTACTGTCGTTTGTTCGCTGGCGACGGCTTATTGCCGATACGATCGTTGTTTTGTTGCGTTTCCCCCCCCCCCCCACAGGTTTCCCCATGCTTTGTTTCGCTCCTTTCCGTCTGAAAAGTTTGTTTCTTAAGAAAACGCAGTTAGCCCATAAATTATATTTTAAACAAGGTTATGGGCTAACCCAAAGGCTTAAACTCTAAGCCTCAAAAAACCACTAATATCTTTATTGTGTTGGAGTGGGTCAAGGCTTTGTTGAATTGTCGAGAACACGATCGTAGTTCTCGAGTTACAGCCAGGGGCGCCTTGCTCCCGTCTCTACGCCTTAACATAGATTTTATTTGTTAGAACTCCAGAATTCTTGTTGACACTTATATCGCTATCTTAAATCAAAGAGAAAGGAGTGCAATAACTCTTGCGTGGGAAAACATGCAAGAAATAAAAAGGTTGGGGGGGGGGGAGGAGGGAGAGGACTACCAGATGGTGGAACGAATTCGTCTGCTGAGTTCAGTGAAATCTTCCAATTCGCTGTGTGGATGTGATAAACTTAATAAAAGGTAGCATAAAGGTGGTATAGAGGTGGTATAGAGGTGGTATAGAGGTGGTACAGAGGTGGTATAGATGTGGTATAGAGGTGGTATAGAGGTGGTATAGAGGTGGTATAGAGGTGGTATAGAGGTGGTATAGAGGTGGTATAGAGGTGGAATAGAGGTGGTACAGAGGTGGTATAAAGGTGGTATAAATGTGATATGGTTGAA